TTACAAAATCAGAACCATGTTAAGTTACATGGATGGACTCAAAAATTGTGAAATTGAACATTGCCCAAAGCAACAAAGAGAGAGCCAATATCATGGAAGCAATTGAAATGCATTGACAGAACCTGGCGAGGATTAATGGCTTGTTATGGATTAACAACGCGTTCAATGAGCTAGAGAAGGCAAACACAAGAAATGCTACGAATGCGTGGAACGTAGAAGGACGTCCCCTGAATATGAGCGTCGGTATTGGGCTCCCATCTATGTATTCACAGGGGAGGATGGTGAAAACTGTGACAATTGCGAAGGAAGTTATGAGAATTGATTCCAACACTCTGGTTTGGAGTGGCTGCACTTTGCTCAGCTCTAAACCATTTTGTAGAGTTGTAGCAACAACTTTTGACATGTTGTCTTTAAAATTTCATAGTTTTTTGTATACTTGTGATTTCTATATGCCCAAGGCCCTGTTTATATCGTAGACAATTTGGGACCACTTTTTTGTTTTTTTGTTTTGCTTTAAATTTAAAAAAAAAAAAAATGAAAAGTAAAAGTATAGGCTCCACCGTTTAAATTATTTAATTTTTATTATATTTTATTTTCATCTCAATCTCATTTGATTCTGTATTTTCAAAAAAATTGAATTTTTCTCAAGTTTAAATTTGAATTTGATCGTTATGTTTAGACTCATGGAACTCGTCACGGTTCTGTTTTGATGATATAAACTATTTATTTTATAGGGTTTATCCGTAAAAAAATTAAGTTGATATGATAATTATAATATTTTCACGTTATAGCGTTTGCCTTTAAAAAATAGACGACAAATGTATTTTTGAATATAGACTATCTATTTTTTTGAGACAATTTGGGGTATTGTGCTTAGTTAGAAGTATCAGATTAATCGAATGTATTTATTATTTTCTTATAAATGATAACACATATGATTTTACAAAATAAACAATTTAAATTATCAAAATAAATTTTTTTTATGGGTTTCATGAACCTAAACATATCATTTAAATTCAGTTTTAAATTTGAAATAAATTCAACCTCAAGAAAATTTCAAAATCCGTGAACTTGTTTACTTCTATGTGCCGAACGAATACCAGCTGCAAAGCTCTCTGTTGTTGCTACTATCAGGTGGGTGATGGATGGAATTTTGAATTATTTTAAATTCGGTTCATGTGGAGTGCGTGTGCTAGGAGGAATTTTGAATTATGTGAGCTTGGTCCACGTGGTTGGTTGCTGGTTTTGGTAGCCCTCGGTTTTTCCAACGAGAAGTGGATTGATCTTTGCTTCTCAGTGAGTGTATATAGTAAATAATAAATTATATATATATATATATATATACATACATATATAAACGGATCAATTCAATTCCAAATCATAATCATAACTATAAAATTATGGATCAAATCATGAAGTATGATTCGCCAATTTTAAAAATTAAGACTAAATCATGTATTAAAAAAATAAATCAAACCAAGCAATTTAGTTTAAGATTGTGTAATATAATTTTAAATTAATTTTGAGTTATACAATACTAAGTTATTTTATTGATAAGTGACAAGTAGATTAGCAACAAATAGTAAAATACAAAAATTGTAAACATAATGAAATATTAAGTGTTAAGTAAAGTCATAATGCGTGGTAAGTAGGATTAAAACAAATGATAAGTAATGTGCTTATAAATGATATTTACTTAATAATATTTTATTTTTTACCTTAATAAATATATTAATTTAAATTTTTTTCAAACTCAAATCCAGCCTTTTTATATAATTGTACAAATTCGAACAGAGCTCTAATTTATCAAATATTTTCTTGAATATTTGACCAGCAAACTCAAGTTTGATTATTTGAACTAAAACTCGAGTAATTTTTAATAAACAAGCCTAAATACTCAAAACTAATCTTGATGATAAGCCTAAAACTATAGATTACTTTAAAAATGAACTATTCTAATTAATATTTTATCAAAAAAAAAAAAATACAGAAAAAGAACAAAATTTTAACTTTTGATAATAACTTTTAACTATTTTGAATTTGCAAACTTGCCCTATATAAATGATTAATAATCACTACCACGGCAAATTAAAATTACTTATGGAACAAACCACGAGACCCTAGCATTTTACCCACTCAAACCCATATGCCAAATTTTATTGCATCATATTACATAACACTTCCATTCCATACATACACAAACACAGGAACACCACAGGTGCACCAAATTATTCATGGAACCATCCAAGCCCAAACTAAAAACTATGAAAGGCAAAGTTAGAGCTTGCTAGAGATGTTGATGGTCCTCACTTTGTTGGGTTTAGGGGTAGAATCTTTGGGGACAACAACCGTGAGAACACCATTTTCCACCTGAGCCTTGATCTGGTCCACCTTCACATTCTCCGGCAATTCAATTTCCCGCGAAAAGTCTCCTCTGCCTGCACCCCTTTCCGCCACGTGCCAAACAGTGTCTTTACCCTGAGATTCCTCTAATTAATGTAACACTAAACTAATTGACTCCTTCAGCTCTTATCACCAAAACGTTCCCATCTTCTACCTGTACTTTAATCTCCTCTTTGCTGTATCCTATTCAAACACAAAAATTGGCAATAAAACCCATGATCCATACACTGTCAAATAAAATTGTATGTTATGTTAATTAAAACTCATGATTGAAATTATGTGTTGTTTTGAGAACAAGCTAAAATAGCTTAAAAAAAAAAAATCACTTTACTTTTTTGCACGGTATTTTATAAAGAGTCCAAAAAATAAAAAATAAAAAAAATTTAAATAACAATTTTTCAAAACAACCCTTAAATCATATTTGAATATCATAATCCAAGTTATGATTCACAAAGTTATTCAAGTTACTACACAATATAATAATGACATGTCTTATACTGCAAAACCCATTCAAATACCAGTCTAAAAACTAAGAGAGAAGGAGTTGGGAGGCAATTTGAAAGCAAATTACTCAATCTGGAATACCATCAAAATTGAAGTCTGAAAATTGAGAGAGAGAGAGTGTACCTGGAACATTGATCTTGAAGATGTGGGAATTGGGGGTTTCAAGCTAGTCCATAAGGGCCGTGGACCCAGGAAAGATGCGATATGCGGGAGGGCTCAATAAAAAACGCCTGAAAGGATCACCGAAGATAGCCATTCCTTCTACTCTAAAGAGAAGAGTGAGTATAGATTGGGGTTTTAAAGCGGGGTTCTCAGAGAGTCTAGAGAATGTCTAGAAGGTTCACTCTTCAGTCTTTTCTTTTTTTCTTTTTCTTTTTTTTTTTTTGACGGTTGAGATTGTTTTCATTTTTTTTTTTTTTTAAGTGCAAGAGATCATTTCTTTGGCAGAAAATGTTTAAGTCCTACAAAATCTCTTACAATATGATTTATAATGATGTGGTAAGGTACATTTTAACTTTTAATCTGTCACTTATTTATTATAAGATTTTCTTTTCATAGCATTGTGAGTCAAATAAAAAATTTAAAGTGGGAATCTTTAACACTATTCTTTCTTAGAAAATTAGAGAGAATGATGAAACAAAAATGTAATTATGAAACAGATGTTATACATGTTGTGTATGTAAATAAAAATAAATAGATTTATAGTAAATTAAATAGGAAAAAACACAGAACAATAAATCATGGGATATTACATCTTGATGAACATAAATACATATAACAAATCAAACATTGAAATGAGGAAAAGAAAGCAAATCAGAACCTGTGTGATATTACAGTCTTCTTAAAATAGCCACCTCATCGTAGGCGCTGGAAATATGTCAGCGTCTGTCTCCCAAGATATGACGGTTAGAACCCGCTAACGCAGAAACACCTTTTGTTTAGCTCCGACGAACTAACAATGGCAGTACTCTTTCATATAGGAAGCAAATTGTATGAGCGGATTGACTGTATAGTATGAGAGCCAAAAAAATTTTACTCAAACCAAAGAGGATTGTCTTTTTTTATACACAATGGGGGAGAGAGAATGGGCCTTATATAGGTATATATGGCAAAGCCATATGTACTTCATGGTGTCCAAGATCATATGTCCTCCATGGTTAGGTCATACGTGCCTCATAGTTTCCAAGGTCATGTGTTCCTCATGGTTAGGCTATAAATGCCATGTGTCATTCATGGTTAGGTCACACCATGTGTACCACATGGTTTCCAACATTAGGCCATACAATGTGTTATATGCATAATCATCATTTCTTAATCTCTCATTCATGAAGCTAACTTTATGAGACAATTTCTCATTCAATTCTTAATGGTTTTGATCATTCTTTTTGTGGTGTAAAGATCTTGTTACAAAGAATCTAAACCCATTTGATCCCAGCTCAATCGATGGTTGGGACCTACTTTAATTTCACTTTAAAGCCCCCATAAAATCATTTTTCCCAATAACAAAATCTCTACCATCTGTCAAATGAGTCTTATGGGGACATATTTTTGTAAATAACAACATGTAGCCAAGGTGCCAGCCGAGGTGCCACGTGTCCTGGTCATGGCGCCGAGGTGATCTCGGCTAGGCCGAGGTTATCTGCGAAGATACCGGAATCCGAAATGAACAGATAAGGAATAAGAGTCCTAAAATGAGGGAGGACCTCAGTCTGGATAAAGATAAAACTCCTAAGGAGTTTATCTCTATCCATTTGAGAGTTCAGAATGAGCATTAAGCCAGAGTCTAAGAAGAGCTAGGCTTTTAGAGGAATCAGGTTAGTGTTGGCTATAAAAGTAAGGCACCCTCGTGGGTCTAAGATACACTTTTTGTATTCTAGCTAGTGAGTTAAGCACTGTTTGCTATTTTTGAGAGATAATTGAGTACTGACTTGATTGTCGAAGTGCCCCCGAGTGGACGAACTATCGCCGGGATCTTACTTTTTTGTGGTAGGTTGTTCGAACGCAATCTATTCTGCTAGTGTTCTCTAGCTGAGTACCTGTTTGGCAGTGTGGTCCGAAATCAGCACCCATAATTTGGCGCCGTTTGTGGAAAAGAAAGGAGAATAGATGGCCAACGACGGACAGAAAGAGAAGATTGAGGATGACATCCCTACTGGAATTGGTAAACACATTGACCCTAACGTAGAGGAGGACAACTGCAATAAAGAACCTCGAGATAAGAATCCCGGAGAGAAAGACGTCGGCTAAGAGGGAGACATACCAAAAATGACAGACCGAGGCGAGTATTACAATGAGAACGACTTCCAAGTATGGAAAGATAGATGCTTGCGAAGGGACGACGAGATGAAGGGAATGGTGAACAAATTGGCAGACCTACAATCGATCGTCAAGTTCATGATGCAGAATAACGTCATGCAGCCACTGTTTCCGTTACAAGACATGCCGATTCCTGTGGCCAAGAACGATGCCCAGAAAGGGGGGCAGAAAATAGTTCCTGCAGCCTCTCAACATGACAGGACAAAGGAACGTTCTCACTAGCCTTCATGGGAGGTCAGGCGAGGAGAATCGATGAAAGGAGAGTCTTAGAAGACACATTGTGCCAAAGAAGCCTACACCAAAGAACATCAGCATGTTCAAGGGAAGGAGCTTTATTTCGACACGACTAATGGAGGGAGGTCTAAGAGGACTCATAACGATACCGGGAGTAGCGCATCTAAAAGGCTAAAATCCGTTGGCAGCCGAGCTCCTAGACGGACTAAGAAGGATTTGTGGGATTACCTCCAGAGGAAGCGGCAAGATGCCAAGGTAACCTCTCCGGTCAAGCCGAGAATGCCGTTTTCGGTAGAATTGGACAAATTTGAGGCCCCGAAAAGGTTCCACATGCCAAGATTCTAGATATACGACGGCAAGTCTGATTCTAACTTTCACGTCGGTTTGTATTTGAACTCAATGGCACTGTGCATCGGGAACGAGCCGCTGCTGTGTAAGGTGTTCCCTTCGTCCTTTGGGAAAATCGCATAAGACTGGTTTCATAAGTTGCCGAAAGGAACTGTGAAGAGTTGGGAAGGCCTGGCCGAGATGTTAGTGGCTAGGTTTGTGACAAACAAACTACAGCCATTGAGGGTGGACTTTCTGATGACTCTGAGAATTGGCGAGAATAAAAGCCTCAGGGCTTATGCCAAAAGGTATTATGAGGTGTTTAACCGAATATCAGGGTGCAACCAAAAGGTGACTGTAGACCCACCCTGCAAAAACTCTCCGATATCCGCGCGCGAATCTCGTTTTGTTCTCTAAGTTACTATAGTTCGGACTCAATGTCACAGTTCTTAATCTAATACCACAAAGTGCAATGTAAGATTGATAAATTACCAAAGAGTCCAAATCCAACAAATCATTTTGAAAAACTGATTTTTATAAAGAAGTGCCAAACATGGACTGTTTTGCCAGATACAGAGTCGCCACCTAAATATTTTATTTTGGGAGAATTTAGGAAACCCTGGCTCATGCCTAAGGCCACGTATTCGTCATCACCAAAGTTGCCTCGGCTCGGGAACTTGGGTACGAGAGGGAAACGTCTGCAATGAGCACCCTCCGCTCGCCCGATCAAAGATCGGCCTGTACTAAGCATGATATTTTGTTTTTGAAAACACATGTGCTCTTATTCCGGTTAATTAGCTAATCTTACTACATGATGCGCACAACATACAAGTATAGACTAGATCGCCTAATTTGGAACAAAACATTGCATATTCGTTTGAAAATGGTTTGGAATTTGTTACTCGTAAGTAGGCTAAATTAGGGATTTTAATGAATTATTTCAATTCAATTAATCAAACCTTCACCCATAGGCATTCATGCAGTTATATCAAATAAGCAGTTAGCCTCATGGCAAGCATGCTTTCATGGTAATCAATAACACACATGCAGTATGCTAAGGCGTAAACACTCACAGTGTACTCCGAGTCAAAATAGAGAACTAGTTAGAAATCATGCATGATCCTAGTTGATGTTAAGATGGCTAATGCAACACATGCGATAATGCAATTAAAATAGGCTCGGCTATTCTAAGATGGTATATGAAATGCAACTTGGCACATGTATTCGAATAGGAATTGAAATACAATGCAATTAGTATGATGCGCCGAGCCCGGTGCATGCAAGACAGATGAATGGATGCACGCATGCAAAGCATAAGGTATGCTAAATGAAACATGCCCTAAAACTAACCATCGTAAGCGGTTAAGTAAAAGGGAGAAAGAAATGGGGATTGGAAGACATGCATCACACACACACACACACGCTTATTACAACAGTTGGCCCTCTCGAGGGAGAGTCTGAATAAGAAGCTAACTAGCTAATCTAAGCTAATTAAACTAATTATTACACAATGAATAAGCTAATTAACTAACCCTAGTTAACTAACTATTACAAAACAAATTGAATAGTTAACGCATTAACTAATTAGGTACAAACCAAAGCGTAAACTAGCTATCTAAGCATGACAGCTAAGGAAAGCAATAAAAACAGGAGCCTCGAGGGGGAAGGGTATATGCATGCCCGGTCGCCTCGTTCGGAAATCTAATGCGATGCCCTGATTTGCCTCTGTTTTCATTTGTTCTCAGAACCTTGCACCAAGCTCCAGAAAGCTTCTAGCACATCTTAGGGACCTGTGGGAGGGTGGCCGACCAGTTGTTGGTGTGGGAGACTACCTGCCGACCACTTTTTGTTGTTTGCAGGGCAGAAAAAGTGGTCGGCCAGCTAGTTTTTCTGGCTGGCCGACCAGTTGTTGCTGCATTTTTCCACTTTGCTGCAACAGAGAGCAAGAAAGGGCATGGCAATGTATTTGCAAGGTATGTATGTACAACCACCCTCCTTATCATTTCATAAGCTCAAGGGAGTGTGGTTCTCGACCCTCAGGCCACCAATCGCGCATTTTAATGCATGATGGCCAAGAGGCGTAGTTACATAATTCAATATGAAAAAAAAATGCACAAATAAACACATAAATGCCTAGAACTCTATCATGTATGATCAAGAGCGTCGGCGACCGAGAATTGAGGCACGTTTCATCACTTCAAGTATGAAATGTCCTTCGTTTCCCGTATTTGGACTAACACCTATTCCAAACACGATGCAATACAAGCATGGCATACACAATACGACTCAAGCATGCAACTCAATGCAATATAACTTAAGCATGCAAACATGCAATTAACATACTAGCATACATAATGCTCATGACAACTAGCATACACAATGCAAATGGCAACT